GATTATAATAATACAATGGGGGCAGTTGACAAAGTTGACCAGATTTTATATAGTGTAAATTCAACCCCAGGAAAAGTTTAAAATGGTACAAAAAGTTTTTCTTTCATTTATTAGATTTAGCTATATATAATACATTTACATTATATAAGTATATAACTGGAAAAAACCTATCATTTCCAAAATTTCATTTACATTTAATAAAACAAATTTTACGCAAGTACCTAGCAGATAGACCAACATATAAATCAATAGGCGGAAATCCGAATAATCTGCCTTTTCGGTTAATACCAACACATTTTCCATCTCCTTACATAAAAAACGGATTAATAAGAAAAAACGCCAGACGCAAATGTGTCGTATGTAAAAAACATAACAAAAGACGTGAGACACATTACCAGTGTGAGAAATGTGATGTAGGACTCTGCATTCATCCGTGTTTCGAAATGTATCACACTTTACTTGATTATTAAATATTTTGTTATTTTTTATTTAGACAATGTTTATTAGATATTTATGCTAAGTCAGATTCAAGAATATTGGATTATTTTCTCTCTTTTGAATACTCAGAAGTTTTTCCTTCTAGCATATAAGTTACAAAAACGAATCGACGCCGAGAGTCTCGCCAGAGTACCATTAGATAAACAATGATTTCATATGTATATAGAACAGAGTGCTCTTTGTCTTTAGGTGACGTTTTTGGTTTCGTCTTTGTGAACAGTCTTCAGTCTCCTGGAGCAATCAGGAGAGTAAAGACGGTCCTTCCTCGTACATCAAATTAATAAACTAAAAGGGATAAGTTTAATTCACTGCGTTTTACTTTTATTTATCTACCCATTTCCAATAAAGAAAATAAATAATATTGTTTTAATATAGTAAAATTCAGATTTTTNTACTTTTATTTATCTACCCATTTCCATTCAAGAAAATAAATAATATTGTTTTAATATAGTAAAATTCAGATTTTTGATTATTGAAATATGTTTTAACAAAAATGCATCCCTACCCAAAAATTCGCCGTTCGAGGCGCACATCGTAACACAATCCCTGCCGCATGGTACGATCGGTGCGTAACAAAGTGTACCGTAGTCAAAGGGATAGAGAATAGAATACGTGAATGTAGAATCTGTCAAACCGAAAAATTAACACGAACTAGAGGCAAAAAGAAACCCGTTATCACAGATACACCTGAAAAACCTAACGACAAAATTTCTATGGATTTATTAGGACCACTTCCTAAGACAAAGAAGGGAAACCAATATATCTTATCAATCCACGATGAATTAACCAAATATCTTATCCTTATTCCCTTAAAAATCCAACAAACCGAAGTCATATGGAATGCCCTCCTAAACCACTACATTTACATCTTCTCCGCACCTAAGAAAATCNATCCAACAAACCGAAGTCATATGGAATGCCCTCCTAAACCACTACATTTACGTCTTCTCCGCACCTAAGAAAATCCTTACTGACCAAGGACAGAATTTCATAAGCAAATTGATGCAACAATATGAGGACGCATTCAAAATAGACCACATGAGAACCACTAGCTTTCATCCTCAAAGCTACGTACTACACAAAAGGAAAAAGGAGAAGAATGGGACGAAATCCTTAACTTCTGTTGTTTAGCCTACAATATGGTGCATGAATACATGCCTACAATATGGTGCATGAATACATGCCTACAATATGGTGCATGAATACATGCCCATAATACATGGTGCATGAATCCACGGGATTTACACCTTTTGAACTGACATTTGGACATATTGCAAATCTCCCCTCATCCCTATCACTAGACTCGCAACGTACTTACGCAGACGAGGTACAATTCAGAAAACGCGAATGGGATTCAGCATTATGTAAAGCACGTGAAACTCTACAAAAAAGTAACCAGCGTTATAAAAGAGACCAGAAACGACGGATAGTTCGAAGTCAGACTATGAGAAGTCAGACAATGTCTTAATACATAATGATCATAAGCAAAACAAGCTAGATACGGAATGGTTAGGACCTTACACAATCGAAAAAATTAACACACCATATTATGAACTATTAGTTGACGGACTAACTAAAAAGATCCATGGCAATAGATTGAAACTTTACTTTCTAGGACGATCACCCTCGTCATCATTACCTGGCAACTCACACACGGCATAGAATTTATACCTTTAAAAGAAAATTCTATATTTCATGAGAAAATAGAAAAAGCATATTTATACTCCACTGATGTGGATATATATATAGGATTAGATGTAGAAGAAATATTTACTAAAGTAAGCGATTTAACTAAATTTATACCTATCATTCACAGACACTGTAAGGATACATGTAACCTCAAAGACGAATTAGATGTTATAGACGAAAGACACAAGAAATTAGAAAACCTAAGCCTACACTTGAAAATTATGACTCATAGTCGATACCGACGCGGACTGTTAAACGCAATAGAGTCCATTTCTAAGTCACTTTTTGGAACATTAGACGAAAAAAATTTAGCAATAGTGAACGCTAACTTAGACAAATTACTTGACGACAACAATAAGCTAAAGACAATAATTAATAATCAAACCGCTTTAATTAAGAAAATTATACACTCAAATAGTTTAAGACAGTTAAGCCAACTAAACATAGAAGCACAAAGCCTTCATCAACGTGTCACTAAAGACGAATTAATAACCAAACTTGTCATCAAAGCAGAAGGAGCAATATACGACCTACACTTTTCATTAGATGAACTTTTGAACACAATCACTCTAGCAAAACAAGGTATTATTAGTACACAGATCATAGACCAAGATACATTTATAAAAGCATATGGAAGCGCTATTGAAAACGAAATCCTAAATGCCACGTATTGCCAATCTCAAAGTATTTACAGTTCACAATAGAATATTCTTCAAAATCTCGATACCAGTAATCCCAGATTTGGAATGGGATGTCAACCTATATCCAATTCCAAGCAAGAAAAACAAAGTATTATATTTATGATTCCGTTGATAGAACATCAAACATACTTTCTCTCTGGATTAAAATACATAAATGTCGATGATGAATATGTAAATCAATATTGTAAAAGGAAATCAGGTATCACTATGTGTAGACAAACACAGCCAATTCATGATAGACACACCAAAAAAGACTGTATTTCGGAACTGATAAATTTTGATAAAGAAATTAAAGTATGCCAAGTAGTAGTCCTAAAAATAGAATAAATAACATTTATTCCACTAAAGAGCTCGAACCAATTCATAGCTATACCTGAGAACCCTGTTCCGTCCTGTACGGATCAACACCGAACAATCTGTCAGGTCACTCGAGGGCCTACGGGGCCTAAACTACGACCCCGAGAAAAGGTGCCTGACAGACCTATAAAATAAATCGAACTCTACGGGACAAGGTTCAATATTTCGGATTTACAACGACAACCCGCTGTAATGACATTTTTATACCGTTTACTTTACCGGTTAGTACCGGTAAAGTAAAAATTAAGGAAATGGTTTTATTACTGCACTTTAGCCGGAGACCCAAGGTGGTCTCCAACTGCCTTCCGTCGACTTGCCCTTTTTTCAAGGCCCTAGAGCAACGTCTTCGGAAGTGGGGGCAGGTTGGGGGTGAAGCCAATCAGGCTCCAAAAATGGGCCGCACAAAATTGACTCCACCCCGANGTGGGGGGCAGGTTGGGGGTGAAGCCAATCAGGCTCCAAAAATGGGCCGCACAAAATTGACTCCACCCCGAGCAAGTCAACCTGCAAACCAAAACTTGTTGAGACAGTCAGTCTTTTCGGTAACTCTCTTTAGAGATGGTCAAGCATTCTCACACACAACTGTAAACCCTGGACCTTCTTTAAATAAACTGTGTTGC